CAACTATAAACGCTTCCACTGGATTTGGAGTATTCAACGAATTTCATAGCGCCTCATATCAACTGCAAAAACCCTGTTCCGTATACGTTGCGGAACTAGCAGCCATATTTTACGCAGTAGAGCAAATTGCCTCACTACCATCTATACTGATAGCCTTAGCTCGTTGGAGGCTATTCGATCAATGAGGCCGATGAAGCACTCCTCGTATTTCCTGACCGAAATCCGAGCTAAATTGAGTACTTTATCTAACTGCTCCTATACTATCACCTTAGTTTGGGTCCCATCTCATTGCTCAATTCCGGGTAATGAGAAAGCGGACTCGCTAGCTAAGGTGGGCGCTATGGAAGGCGATATTTTTGACCGACAAATCGCCTTTGCGGAATTTTTCTCAATTACCCGTCAGCACGTCCTCACCAACTGGCAACAAAAATGGAATGAGAGTGATCTGGGAAGATGGTTACATTTTATTCTCCCACAGGTATCGAACAAGCCATGGTTCAAAGGATTGTACATGAGCCGTGACTTTATACGTGTCATGTCAAGGCTCATGTCCAATCACTACTCGTTAGACTCGCATTTCTTCCGAATCGGGCTCGCAGGCAGCAATTTGTGCGCTTGTGGTAGTGGCTATCACGATATCGACCACGTGCTTTGGTCATGCACCCTCCATTGTGTTGCTAGATCCGAGTTATCCGCATCCCTCAGGGCCCGAAAACAACCCATGCGGCCCGTTAGAGACATCTTGGCGAGCCGAGATCTCGAATATTTTAATTTAATTTATGTGTTATTAAAACGGATCGATCTGAGGATTTAGTAGTTAGTGTCATCTTGTGTTCTCTCAAGTCGCTAGGTCTCCATCGGTGTACCCCCATGTATGTCTTTTTCTCCAGTATGTTGCTTAGTTCTAGATTAAGAGCACATTGCTCTAAAAAACCTTGTGATCTCAATCCCTACCCTGCCACCCGTTTGTTACAATTTGTTACCCCTAACCTCAAGATAGCCACGAGTAATCGGCCCCCGCTTTACTAACGTTAGTTTTAAGTAATCTTGTAACCCAAACGATGAATATCGGCTCCGCAAAGCTACGGCAAAAGAGCCGCATTAAAAAAAAAAAAAAAAGTGCTGCTCTGCTTGCTTCTTCATGTCCGTTAGAATGGCTTGTCTTCTTTTTCTCTCCGGGCATGATCCGTCGTCCGCTCCGTGTCCTTGTTTGCAATTGAGACATTTGGGGTGAGATGAACAGCTCCCCTCGTGATTCTTGCCGCAGATATTGCACCGAGCCCTACCAGTGCAGAAATTCGCTCCGTGCCCGCACTTCCAGCAGTTCCTGCATTGTCGGATCGGGAAGACGTAAAGTTCTACTGAGAAACAGCATCCGAAGATTCTTACTCTCTGTGGCATGTTTTGTCCCTTTACAGTCATCTTGATGTTGTTCGTGCTAGTTAGGTCCCCGTCTCCGGTTTTCCTTCGGATTCTCTCGATCTTCAGTATTTCGTGCTCCGTGTCGATGTTGTCCAATATGTCCTGTTCTTCGAACTCTGATGAAGTAGATGGTTTTTCTCCTTATTTTCGGATCGTATTGCCTGATATTTTGGTTTCAGATTCAACTGCCCTAGTTTGATTTTGGCTTCTGCTGAGTCGTCCGTGATTTTGATCCGGAACTTTCCCACCTTTGTTACTTCGCTTGATAATTTGAAACCGCATGCTCTTTGAGGATCTTGTCGACCTGACCCTGTTTACTGGGTGGGGTGCTGGTTTCTGGGCATTGGTCTGGTGTATTTTCTAGTTCAAACCGAAAACAAGATGTCGGACTCTTTTTGCCGACGAATCGAGGTTAGAAGGGCCAAAAAGGTTTGAGAGAATCAAAGATTTCCGAGCTAATTTAACTTTCTCCCTGAAAATATCATTTTCCCCATTTACACGGGGTCTTTATCTACACTTCTGAACCAAATTCGACGGAAACTAAACGGATTAAACGGGGTTTTTGAGTAAAAACACTGGACCGACGACATCGTTTTTTTCAAAACCCAAACTCGTCATTAGGGTGAGGGGCATGCAATACAAAGAACCGGTGCGTTGAAGTTAAAATGCAATCAAAAGTACTTAAAGTAATTAATGCGTTTTGAAGTAGTACTGACGGTAATTAAATTATCTATCCGTAATTAATGTAATTAAAAGTATTGAAAACGTAATTAATGTACTTTAATTACGAAATTTCAACTGTAATTAATGGAGTTAAAAAGTAGTTAATGATCTACATTGTGTAATTAATGTATTTAAAGCAGTAGTTAATGGAATTAATTTAATTACAGCCGTTGCCTGCGTTGGAGTTAAAGGTTATTGCGAGTCCCTAGGGTTATCGTTCAGTTATGGTCAGGCATTTACATTCATTTGCCCCTAACTTTTTTCATCAACAGAATTCCGCAAAATGATGTATGAAGTTTTCGTAGGTTTTCTTATTAACTACAAAATATATTAAAAATCCAAATCCGTATCTCTTATGCATGACGAACCAGAGCAAACAGAATCCACTACTGTTTTTCAGTGATTTTTTTTTTTTGTTGTTGGGATTTTAACCGTAGAACCGGTCATTCATCCCCCGATTTTCAGTGAATGTATATTACATTCACTGAAAAACAGTAACGAGTTCTGCCCGCTCTAATTCGTGATGCATAAGATATATAGATTTGGGTTACTGGCAAAAGTGGTAGCTAATAACAAAACCTACAAAAGCTCCATACATCGTTTTACGGAATTCTGTTGATGAATAAAGTTAGGGGCAAATGAATGTAAATGAATGCATGAAATGAATGTAAATGATCTATCCAAGCAGAATGTCACGAACACCAAGGCAGACAGCGTGTAAATTCATAGGATTTTGACAGTTCTCACAGTAACACATATGCAATTTTTATACAATACATATGCAGCTGGATAAGACTATCCAGCTTTCCATGCTCGGTAATGGCGGCCTGTTTGTATGAGTAAATGTATCCTTCACTGGCTTCACTGTGCTTTTTGACACTAACTGGAGGGCGTATGTTGTTCTATTTTCTTCTGTTCCTGGGAGAGGGAAAGGAATGGGTCGAAATCCGAACATCCAGATGGTGTCAAAAAGCACAGTGAAGGATACATTTATTCATACAAACAGGCCGCCATTACTGGGAAAGCTGGATAAAAGGGGTTCATTTTTAATTTGAACTTCTAGTAACCCTCCCACCATCCTGAAAGCGAGCTTCTAGTAGCCTTATTTGATGTTTTGTTTTGATTCTGCGTTTCGTTTCGCAACGTTCTATTTCACTTTTCTCTGTTACATGTGCTAGATGACGTTTGAGCAATTTTTGGTTTGCACGGCGTGCAGATTAGCGGGGTTCAAATTAAAAAGTTGTGGAGTCAATCAAACAATTAAAACACGCGGTTCACTTTGCTTTAACTTTATATTTTTTCCCGTCCGAACGTGGTGAGGGTTGAGAGACAATTGATTCTCCTTTTTTTCTGGCTCACGCTCGTACCTACTTTTCCATTCATACTTCACACACACAGCCATATATACCGGAAGTCAGTCGCGTTCACACTCACATCCGCTCGATGCAACAGTGCTGCCAGCGGACAACAAATCACAAAACAACACACATAAATCTAAATACTCAGAATACTACAAAGTGATCAGATTAAAAGCGGTCAGATTACCGGAGGTCCACGGTACCTGACACTGCAAAACATGTATGGTGCCTCTTCTTATGCATTTAGATTCATATTCAAATTCTCCCCGAAAAAAATTCAATAAATATACAATGATTTTCCGAGTGATTTTCACTGTTAATCCATGATATTTACTGTCAAAACGTTGAACATTGTTGTCCATTACCATAAAATCACAACGAAATGCATGATAAACAACCGTAAAAATCATAGTATTTGAGATAATTACTATTAAAAAGAATTAGGTAAACTTCATTTTTTCCCAAACAATTTTGATTCCAATTCAGCAATTTTCATTGTTTGAGCATTGTTTTCTTTAAAAACTAAAACCGTGTTTTCACCACTACAAATTTAAAATTAAATTTTAATTTTACAGAAAATTAAATGTGAATAGTTGAAGATGCTAATTTCAAATAACAGACTAAAGTGGTAATTTTTATACGATAGATGAGGAGATGAAAGTATAGAGTTGATAGTTCCGTTAGAGTACGGCAGTGTGAAAATTGTATATAGAGAGTAAAAGCGAGCAAAGACAACTTTTTAGGAAGGTACAAATCGGTTTGATCATCTCTCTTTACCAAACTCCCCCATTGGAGAAGGATGGTGAGCTTCGATGACCAGATGCAGGTCGTTGAAGTACAGTATAAAAATCAACGGTCCCATGTGGCTTCCTTGAGGTATACCTGATGTGGCGAAGAAGCTAGCTGATTTGCAATCTCCTATGGCAACCTTTAGTTGGCGACCGGTAAGATATGATCGAAACCAACTCAGAAGATTACCGCAAACACCGAGTCTGCCGAGTTTAGCATGGTTCAACTTGTCGAATGCTGCGGATAGGTCTGAATAAATAACGTCCGTTTGAACCCGATCCGACATGCTTTCGGTTATATAGAGCGGCCGACAGTAAACCCATGTTGATCAGCACTCAAATACTGCTTGCAATGGGACAGCAACGGTTCCATAATCACTAGCTCGAATAGCTTCGAAACGGCACTTAACGAAATATGACTCACACATGACCACTCTGGATGGCCCACGACGCCCACTCCAACATTGCTGAACGTTTGGAGTGCCTATCTTGAAATAAGCCGAGATATTGAGAACAGCGGAAGTTAAAAATAAAGAATTATGGTCGTAAAAACAACCAAATGAGCTGAAATTTGCTGAAAAGTCTACTGCGCACCCTTTTCATGGAAAGTCGAGAAAATTTAAAAATCTCAGACGAAATAGCAAATAGCTACCCATCGTGATAGTTTTGAAGACTGGATAAAACGGGAAACCAAAAACCGAATACTTACATTTCCAATCTCAAAGTTCTGCCTCATGAGCAGATACAGGGACGCGGCCGCCTGTGACCGGACGCTCGGCAACTGAGATCCACAGTGCTTTAGCAGCAGCAGACACAGGTCCGCGCAGCTGTCCGTTTCCTCGTCGAACAGGAGATTGTGATATTTGAAAATCAGCGACCGCTGGGAGGCAAACAGATTCTGTATCGCCAGTGTGCTCTGATTGCGGGACAACGCATGAAGCAAAACTTTCAGTACCGTTCCCAGGAGATTGTGATGCAATTCCGATGTGGATGCCACTTGGACAATCAACTCCAGCGTGTCCAAAATGGCGAGACATACTTCGGTTGCCAACGATCCTTCGATGTAGTAGGTTATCTCCATTTCCGCTTCGTTCTTGATGTTGCTATCGTAAAATTGAGTTCGAATTTGATCCTTTTTCCAACGGAACTTTTCAGTCGAGTATCGATCCTTACGCCTATTGATGAGATCGTTCCGAGCGGAGCCCGTTCCACGAATGCACTCCTCTAGCTTTTCCTTCATATCCGGCGTCTTTCGGAAGCTGGAAGTGTTACGCTTGGATGTTGGTTTCTTCCGTCCGCGGTATTCAAAATTGGGGATGCAGATGTTCAACACCTGAAGCATTTGATGGACGCGATGGGGGCTCAGTCCGAGGGTGTACTTGAACAATGTGCTTTGCTCGAGATTTTTGACCACCCACAGGAAACAGGACAGCAGATGACGGGTGTTTTCACTGCTCAAAGGTGTTTTATTCTTGGGGGTCTCCTGAACGTAGCTATAGTGGCGAATACCGGAGATTGCATACGCCACTTCCGGACTGATTGTGGAGGCAGCAATTGACGTCGACGGTCCCTGGTAGTCTTCCAGCAAACCAATGGTGTTCAGGCGATCGTGGGATTCGGCAGCCGGAGTATGCAATTGCGGAATGGCGTCCTTTACGATGCCCAGCAGTGGAATGTAGAGAGCAGCTACGCGAGCCCGTGCTTCCACTTCATTGTAGCGTGGGTCCAAATCGTGAGACGTCAGCAAATTCCGCAGACAGCGAATTGCCTTACCGTGAAGAGGAGGATTTGAAATGTCCAGTACAGTTGCTAATTCCTGCAGCATTAATCCTACAAGGAAATGCTGCTGCCGAAACTCCACACTGAGTTCGGCATAGAGAGCTTTATCGATACCGGCCATAGCGCTGACGTACGAGTTTTGACTGTTGTTCGAAGTAACACTCGGCGTAGGACTGCAAGGAGCCGAGAGAGCTGTGTAGGGTGTTCCAAAAGGTAAATTCAGCGCAACGAAATGCTCGTGACTACAGACTATTCTCAAAAAGTCCAGCTTGTAGTGTATCATCTCCGGAGTCGCTGAACTCTTTGTCATGATCACTTTGTAGTACGTTCTGATCAAACCGAACACAAATCCCCGATCCATGATGCTCAAGAGATCGAAAATAAAGAATGCCAGGCTGGAATTGATCGATTGGGCCAACTTGGGATCGCTGCTGTTATATCCAACGACTTTCGTTGTCACCAAATGCACCAGAGTGGAGATATCATCTGTGAACTGATGTGGAAAGCGGCTCTTCCGAGGCGAATTTAGCGAATTCGTTAGCTCCAAATGCTCGATCATGCTTTTGATAATCAATTCAAACAGCATCCACGAATTGGTCATCGAAAGTTCGGCAGCCGCTCCGCTGGCCACCACCCAATTCTTCGCAATTTCCTCGTGCAGTAAACGGATCATCCCGTCCTTGGGTCCACCTGACGTTGGGGACATCTCGTTGCGCATGCTGGAAGTACGATCTACCAGTTTGCCACTCATAGAGTTGGTCATCTCCGAGTATGTGGAACTGCTGTGATGTAAATCCGGATTGCTGGACGAGCGGGCCATCTCCTCCGAAGAATTGGCCGCTCCCTGACGGGCATAGGAAAGCTTGCACTGCGGATCCAACGGGTGCGGGATCTTGCACTGGAACTGAATGTACGTGCTAAGAATATTCTGCCGGCCGTAGCGATCTTCCGGTTGAAGGAACTGCAAGAGACGAGATGAAAAGTTATCAACTTAAGCATTACAAATTACGCGCTATACTTACAAATATTTTATCTGAAATCTGACAGATGGTCTCGAATATAGTTTGTCCGAGAGACAGAGCTTCCCCTCCGATCCGGAACGTGGTGACCAGCAGCTCAATCAACTTATCCAAAATGACCTGCAAATTCTTCACCAGCTTCTCCTGGTCGGCACTCTGCAGTTCCTGCAATGTCTTCTTGAACTCCCGCTCCATGTTGCCCTCGCCGATGCGCGGAGGAACTTTCCGCAAATCCAGACACTCACACAGATAGATGAACTTGTCCAGATAATCGTCCAAAGCGTGAACCGACGTCACCGCATCCAGTGTAACGGAGAACACCGGCCGATGGTTGTCGAGCCACTTAGTTCCGGGAAGCTGAACATCCGGCGGAATGAAGGAATAATTATCCGGCGGTTCTTCCACCATAACCGGTAGGTTAAATTCTCCGACGTTCAGATGTCCATCCTTAAGGACCGGAAGCCAAGTATAGCCCACCGGAGTTTCAATGGTCGGCTGAATGTCCTGAGGTTTCTTCTGACAGGACACGTGGAACAGTGTGAACAGGATATGATGATTCTGTTTCAGATTCGCCGGGAGAGCAATTTTGATTTCATCGTAAAAGGTTGGCTGCTTGTTGTGGTAATTAACGGCCGTATATGCTTCGAGAGTGTACTCCGAACATGAGCTTTTTCCAAAAATTGCCGGAAGAGCATCGAATTGACGCTCTCCAGACATCAGCTGAACACGAACGGCTATGTTACGAGCGGATCCGGCACGGGTTGAAAAGTTCAGCTCCTTCGGCGATACGAACAGGATATTCCGATAGCTGTAGTGAGGGTTGAGAATCGGAGTGGCAGGGAACTCAAGAATTTCCTTCGTTGGCCTTGTGTGATCGTTCGGGTAGGGGTCGATTTTGGCCAGCTCGGGAGTAAGGGCACATTTGAGATCTTCGGGAATCGGGGAGATTTCTATTTTGATCGAGCCTGGAATACATTTGTGTTTCTTCATCAATGCTCCGGGGCGTTTCAATTCCGGTAAGAACTTGTACAACTCTTCGTCCTTCATTTTATCCGATTCCTGTTTGAAAAAGCTATTGACCGTAATGGAAATTGGCCGGAACGTTTCGACGCTGTTGGCAAAATCATCCGGCGACCACGACCTACGTTTTTCCATTTTTCTTTCCAGAGATCCTCGCCGAGTAAGAGTGCCCATATCGGTAGCCCGTTTGCGGAACTGATCAAAACTGCTGGTAGATGATTTCCGATCTAGACTGTTGGAACTGGAAGCCGAGGTTATACTTTCCCGATCTTTGTCCTGCTCTGGATTATCGCCATTGAAAATATTGGTAAGGTAGATTCCAGTCCAAGCGAATGGCATTCGATATTTGCCCAATCGTTCGCAAAAATCGGAGGCATTCGACTTGGCCTTATCGCGATACTTTTCCTTATCTTCCTTCAAGTACGGTTCCACCGAATCCTTGATATCTCCTTGGAGAACCTTCTCCAGTCGAATAACCAAATACAGCTCATTGCTAGGATTCGTAATATCAAAAATTGCTTCCCTCGCTTGAGTACTAATGTCAGCGAACGGAACGTGTGAAACCAGCATCCTCCGCAACGATTCCGAATTCATATCAAAGTAGAAATTCTCGGAAATCTTCTTTCGCTCCTTCGCATCGTAAATCGCCATCGAGGCGAAGATCGGTTCCACCTCCAGTTCTAACTTCAATTGCAAACACTTAACGTGGATTCTATTCCCCAGATGCTCTACGGGCATTTCCGCCGGGAGTCGTTTCTCGATTGCATCTTCCGGATCTGCTTCCGGGTATAGACTGAACAGTGCTTGCTGTCTTTCCTCCAATCTCTTGGTCTCATTGTCCTGGTCGATCGTTTCCGGCGCAACTCTTTCCAGCAATCCCGGAATCAACGGATCGTTCACTGAACTTCGCAAATCGAAAGAAGCCCACGAACCTCTCGGTGTCAGTGTATCCGTACAAGTTGAAACCGACGACAAACTCGCAATAGACTGTCGGCTACTCGGAGTACAACTCTCGCTGGCATACAACGTCGTAGACGTAACCGATTCTTCCAAAGATGCACACCCAAAAAAGTCACGATCTATTTCAAACTCCTGCTGATACGAACTAGGACTCAAAGCTCCCTTGTCCACCCGTTCCCTGCTGCTACACGAACTGGAATAATTCCTTTGGGAAAATTCCACCACCTTCCACGGCCTCGTATAACAATCCACACAGTGCTGAACGTGCAATGGCAGCTCCGAGAGATCCTCCTTCGGAACCACATGTTCCAAGGTCCGAATCTTTCTTGGGACCACTCTCATCTGCACATCATTAACGGGAAAGTCCAACATCGATCTCAATGGATCCCTAATCAGCATATTGGAGTGCTGGGTCAGGAATTCCTCATAATCGATCGGTTCCACCAGCTCACACAAAGAAATCGACGATGAACATACGGAACTGCTGTCACTTTTGGACAACAGCTGATAGTTGGCCACATTCTTACGAATGTCCGACGAGTTGTGCCTAGAAAATCAATCAAAATCAATGAACTCGCAATTCACAGATGAAAAGTACAAAGAAAAATCAGGGCGGAGGCTCATCCCCTAAAAAAAAATATTTCAGCACTTTCTTTCGGGAGGAAAATTTTCAACCCGCCCGAATCAATACTTACTTGGTGAGTTTGGAAGCGAATGCACGCTGGCTCGATGCCATGGCGGGTGGGCAATCGTTTAGCACTATTTTTAGCAACCGTGGACACGGATTATTACGTATATTTTCGTAAATTAAAATCCTATCTCACGGAAGCACAACCGTTTTGTTTTCGTTTAGCGGACGCCATTAAAATGTTCACGTCTGCTGGCTGTCAAAACAAAAACAGGAAAAGCAAAATAAATTCGTTAAATTAATAGATATTAGGGTGGTGCAAACTTAACGATCAAATAATTAGGTTAATACACGGTAAACAGCGTATTCACATAAATGAGTTAAAAAATACACATTTTTTAGATTTATATGCAGCTGTCAAAAAATGTGTAAATTTGGAGATCTTAAAATGTGTAAACAAATACACATTTTAAGAATGTAGTACCAGTCAAAAAATGTGTATTTTTATACTCATTAATGGGTAAAAAAAACTTCAAACTTTGCTGTATCCTGCCTTGTTTACGCACGTAATTTGTATATATTTCAGTGAAGTACAACAGGAAAATAAAGGAACTACGGTCCAAGCTGGACAGTGCAACGATGGATATACCAACCGGTGAACACTCGTGTTTATTTCAGTTACCGTGGGGACGTAATTTGTGATTATGCATTGTATGTTACAATGTAATAAAATCTATTGTAGCAGCCATAAATATTACATCAATGGATGTAATTTTGCTCGCAAATTCGATGTACATCGTACAACGTTATATTACACAACCGATGAATTGACCTGGTTGCAGCAGTTTGGATGTAATATCCAACAACTTTTTTTCTGTGTGAGATCGATAAAATATCATTGTGTTTAGAAAACGAAGCTCTTTCAGATAATGTATACCCTAATAAACGGATACCATAAACTAACGATATCATAGATGGTACGACCATACCGCATAAAGTTGGGATGATATCCCGAATTTGTGGTTAGGCTCTTCACGAGGCTCTTCATATGGTTATTGTTTATGCGGGTAATAACCCGTATGTTTTTCTGAGCAACTCAGTTCGGATTTACTTGCGCCTGCGTTTAATAGTAATTTAAATATTGAACGCGCATCAACTGATCTTATTAAAATGAACTTCAATATTTATTTAAATATTTAACTTTTTTTTAGACGTCAATGCCCTAATTAAATTTGTATGCTTATTTTGCTTAACGACGTGTTCAGGGTATCATCCGAACCATTTGTATAATATTTCAATTATTCGGGTTATCCTTCGGGTATGGTATTTTTTTATTAGGGTGATTCGCATTGATATTCCGATCTCGCGGGCAGCCATGTAAAACACAAAACACGCCACAAGGTGGATGGGGACCAAAGTTGATGCTTCATGAAACGTAAGCACCCCCACCCAGACTTCGATAAGTTTTTTTATTACGCATTTTTTTTTACTGTGCACAAAAACTGTCAAAATATCCTCTGTTGACAGACGCGACCGATGGGCGATTTCGATGCGAGAAAACGAGTTTTGTGGCACCTAAATCGAGAAAGTTGGTAATATTTTCGGACAAATTTGCATAAGCCTTTACCCCTTTTATCGCGCATAAGGTTTTTTATTCAATTGTACGACTCTACAGCGGAGGAAATAGTGATTCAATTCCAAGCTTACGCCAGTTTGATAACTCAGAACGGTTATCTCTTCGTGCCATACTCAAAGGAACCAGTGTGCAATTATGGTAAGGACCAGGTTTAGTTTTTTTTACTCGTTCTAAATTCCACTTCAATTGATTCCATTCTATCCCGTTTAAGGATGTTAAAAATTTACCAATCCGGAGCTAAATCGACAGCAACCGTTGGGATCGCAATCTATCCATCCAGTACAAAATCATGAGAGTCCACAGATTGCTGGCGGTGTTGGTGTTGACTTCCTTCTTTCTGATTTGGTACTACATCCTGCGTGTAAACAATGGATTGTTCAACGGGCTTAGCTTGGGAACAAACTCAAGTTTCAGCGGGTTTAGCTTGGGTAGGAAGAGGTAAGGAAAATCGGTATTGGTTGGGAACGCTAATATGATTTAACATTTGTTTTAGTCATCGCTCCTTGGTCAACGGAACTGAGATAGCGATAGTGGTGGTGGCCTGTGGCGAGCGGCACAATGAAGCGCTGAATATGATTAAATCGGCTATTATGTTCAATCGAAATCAAGCGCCGCTTAAATTCATCGTTGTAGCTGAGGAACAGTTGAAGCAAAATTTTGTAGAAAAGTTGGACGACTGGCAGGAAATTAACGACAATATCTTCACGTACGAAATACATTCCCTCACATTCCCGGAAGCGAACAAACACGAATGGAAAAAGTTGTTCAAGCCTTGTGCCGCGCAAAGGCTTTTCTTGCCGTCCCTTTTAACGCACATTGATTCAGTATTATACGTCGATTCGGACACGATATTCCTGTCTCCGGTGCAGGAACTGTGGTCAATGTTTCGTAGCTTCAATGCATCTCAGTTTGCCGGAATGGCTCCGGAACATGAGGACAAAAATGCCGGTTGGTACAATCGGTTCGCCAGGCATCCTTACTACGGCGATCTGGGAGTGAATTCCGGTGTCATGCTAATGAATCTCACCCGGATGAGGGAGTTCAAGTGGGAGGAGCACATTATGCCTATCTACAAGGAATACCGCTTGAAGCTGGTATGGGGGGATCAGGACATCGTCAACATTCTCTTTCACTACCACCCGGATAGGTTGTACGTATTTCCATGCGATTGGAACTACCGGGCTGATCATTGCATGTACATGAGCGTTTGCGACGCACCGGATGGCGTCAAGATTATCCATGGAAATCGTGGCTATTTCCACTCGTTCGTTCAACCAATTTTTAACCTAATTTATACAACGATTGAAGAGTACGCCTTCCGCACGGACATCCACGCCAACTTCATCCGAACGGTGGAGGATTCGCTGACGCTGCCGAGCAATTCAAACTGTGATAAACTGCTGGACAAGTTTTTGCAGGATCCTAGGAAGTATTTCAAACAGAACCAGTACATCGAGGATACTTAATCGTGTGACGGCATTTGCATATCGAGAAGTGAGAAGTGAGAATTATAAACGAACAATTCGAATCGAATATTAGTGCTAGTGATTTCATTTGACAGTGTAACAACAGAACAATCCGAACGATTTCTTCGCCCTCTAATATTTGCACGTAGCATTCATTGACGGGCGATTGATGGTAAATTTAGATAAAGAAAAACTCGCGCTAGTTGCTAGATTTTTTACTGCAACCTTGACATGTTTTTAGAAATTGTTTATTTTTTAATGTCAGTTGTGAGTATGTAAATTATACATACACATTTAGTCAGAATCTGTTTAGAGAGCTACATGTATTAGATGTAACTATGATTTCGGAATAATGCAAGTGTAAATATACGAAGTGTTTTAAACTCTTTTTAATTATTGGGTTTTGCTCTATTGAAGAATATGCCATTTGGCCCTGCGCTTCGGTCAGAGAGCGTATAGGGCGTCGTTGTGCCAATTTGGTCGTGGCACATTTCGAGTATGAAAGAGCGATTGCATTTAGATCAAAAGTGCCTGAGAAGAATGCAAGTACTTTCGCGGATTACCCGAAGTTGCGATAGTGAAGGTATGATCACATACAAGCAGACATAACACTCTTAAAGATTATGTGACACTACCCCGAACACCGTTACCCCAAATTATACTCTACCCCGAATGACCATTACCCCGAATGGCCATTACCCCGAATTCATTTCCAAAAGCTGTTTATTTTACTAATTGTCTTTTGTTGGTTAAACACTGGTACTATATTGTAAATAGAACAAAAAGTTAAACCTATGTATTAATTAACAACAGGGTGATTCCAGTCAAAAAGTCCAAGTGTTCGACGTTGTTTTTTTTTTTTGAACGTCAAACTGGTTTGATGTTGATATCGGAGTTAGTCAATACGATACTAAGAAAACATTTTACAGAAGATCATCCAATCAGGGCCGGTTTAACAATTAATATGGGAACGCCTTTGGCATAAATCCACTTGGCTTAACATAACGTAGCATAATGGTCCTTTGGCATAATGGTCATTTGGATTCAAAAACATTCCCCAGAAAACCATTCCTCCGAAAATCATTCCCCAGAAAACCATTCCCTAGAATTCCATTTCCCAGAATGCACCATTCCCCAGAATGAACCATTCCCCAGAAAAGTATGCCATGTATTGACTAAGGGAATATTCCCTGCTTTATCATACATCCAAAGAATTACTTATTTTCTCTTTTATATATTCAAAGCAATGTTGCAAATTTTCGCATCAATGAAAACTCAGTACCAGTATTTGAGAGATACAACTCACAATGTTCATTTTCCAACCAGGCTCTCACTACGAATAGGATAGAGGCAATAACAAAAATATTCCGACTCAACTCAGCGGGAGAACAGACAAATGCTGAGAATGTGTTCATCTAACCAGACATTCTTTCTCTCAGTCATTGAGCTTAGTCGTTCTGATTCACCATGCATCTAACTCGAGGTCTGAGTCAGAGTGTGTTGATAGAGACAAATTGAGTCAGAGTGAGTCTACCTGTTCGGTGAAGCAGTTATACCTGGGTACGTTGATAAAGGGGCAATGGAAATAAAACAACTTATTAGAAAGCATGCAAAGGGGCGACTGTGAACCTGAAAATAAATTCAGTATCGTCGGGGTCGCCCCATTTTTTAAATAAACACACAATGCATGGATGAGAATGAGAATGTTTAAATTGTTCATTTGGGTAAGTACAGAAACAATTATTTTTAAAACTGAAAAAGAAATATCAAATAATCTATTGTGATTTGCATTACAAATTATGTAAGGTATGTGGGGAAAGGATGATTTTTCGTTATTTATTATTACATAGGGGCGGGGAATATAGGGCCAGATGGAACAAGAGTGCCACCGAAATGAAAACTATTTTTAAACAAACTTTCGGAGATTGAAATTCCAAAGTTATGCCGGATGCACGATTTTTTTAAACTTGTTATTAATGTAGGAGTGGCATTCTTGGTCTATGTAAGGTTAAATTTCATGAAGTAGACTTTAAACCAACCAGTTTAATAAAGTATGCAAGTATTGTTCGATCTTGATGTTCGAATTAATCAATTATAACGGTGCCTTAGTACAAAAATTGGAGAAAAACGTATATGGGAATTTCAACATTAATATTTTATGATGTTCAATTATTATAAAAAAAATTCTATTTTCGGAAAACCAACACAACAATACATAAAAAAGCAGACAGTCTTTTTTTCGTACGAAATGCAAAATCCAGCCTATTTTTATTGCCGCAAAATAACCATAACGAAATAAAATATAAATAAATGATACACGAGGTCGTTGATTTCTCAATATTTTTAATACTTTGTCATACTTTTTTTTCATAACTCTGATTCATAGACAGTTTTCTTTAACAAACAATACCGCATTCAAGTTAATGGCATCAATCTCTATTGTACTAGAACTACTTGTTTGAGTGATGAAATTTGATGATTTTTAACATCTTTTCAATAAATCTGAAATTTATGCAGAAAAACATGTTTGTTTTGAAAAACTCGTCACAGCAGTTATTGGAGTCTCACGATGAAATGCTATCAGAATTGTCTTTATATCTACCACCAAAAATATGCTAACCAAAAACACATCCCATAGTGATCAATTTCACCCCGGTGATCAATTTGCCCCCAGACTACTGTAGTTATCTATCGGACAAGAGATATGGCAAATGTCCACAGCTCATACAATTTTCAATAAAAATATACACTAAAACATTAAACTGTGTAGAGCCCTCAAAACAGTCTATGCAGTTAATGAAAAGCCCCTATTTAATTATTATTGTTTATAAATCCAAAAACAATCTCTAAACAATTTCCGGTAACTATAAACTCTACATGTGGGCAACATTTAATAAATTAAAAACAAAGCACTTTAGTGCACTTTGTAGCACTATATTTAGTACATTTAATTTTATGCGACACTATTTTTGGATTAAAACAGAAAGTGTCCATCTTTCCCTCACTGCCCTCAAGATGCCTCGTTAGCGCGAAACCGTCCATTTGTTGCAAAATATTTCGCCTCCCCGCAGCAAAATTTAGGTGAGCATTGCTTAGTGGGTGAAGACAGCAAAATCTACATCAGTAAGAATAAAAACAATAAGCTTCACCAATGAAACAGAACGCGGACCGCGGCAGGCAGGAGATAAAAAAATCTCTTTCTCTCTCTTTGCCGTGTCTTTGACCTCATAAATTCTCTGCTTGAACGTCAAGCAGTTTAGTTCGGTTTGAGCTCGCTCTCGTGAGTTGTTCGGAAAGTATTTTTGTGAGTTAGTGTTCGCGCTCTTTCTTTCGTGGTTTGTCGTGCGTGTGTGTGTGCCCCGAAATGGGGAAGCATCGCTCGCGAAGCCCGGTGAAGGACCAGGACGCCGGTGAAGGTAGCTCCGGTGTGTCCACATCGAACAGGTTTGCTGTTCTTCCCATCGATGAGCATACCCAGCCAGCTGCAAAAGGAAAGCGCAGCAAGAAGAGGAAGAAGAATCGGAGCCAGTCCGATTGCACGATTTCTCGCGGCGATGCTACTGCGGCAAACGGTAGTGATGTCGGAGATTTCGGTGACGTTGCCGACACAAGCACGGCAAAAGTAAAGCTACCTCCGTTGGTAGTAAAAAATGCCCATCTTAACGATCTCATCGCAGATCTGGCTTCGCTGGGCGTTAAAGCCGAATTCAAGTTGGGCAGAGTCGGCACCAAGGTTATGCTCCGCACGAAAGCGGAGTATGACTTGGTCGTTGCCCACCTGAGGACTACCAAGGTGGAATTTTTCACCCACGACATTCCCGGCGAGAAACCATTCAAGGTCGTCATCAGGGGTCTACCGAATTTTGACCCGAAGCTGATTGAAGCGGAAATCAAGAACCGCTACAAGCTGGCCCCAACTGCCGTCTTCCGGATGACAAGGAGGGACGAGAACGTCAAAAGGTATCCAGATTGTCTTTTCCTGGTGCATTTCCAGAAGGGAACGGTGACGCTCAATGCGTTGAAGGCTATCCGCTCCATCAATTCCATCATTGTCCGATGGGAGCCATACCGTGGCGGCCGTCACGACGTCACCCAGTGTCAACGTTGCCTGAATTTCGGGCACGGCACCCGAAACTGCTTCATCAAGCCGCGCTGTGGAAAATGCGCCCAAAACCATATCTCCTCCGAGTGTGTTGTCGACGAGTCGGAAGCGGCCAAATGCGCCAACTGTAATGGCGCTCATCAAGGGTCCGACAAACAGTGCCCCAAACGCGAAGATTTCAAACGGATCCGAAAGCAGGCGTCCACAAGAAATCAACCAGGACGAAAGAAGGAAAATACGCCGGCATTCAGACTGGAGGATTTCCCGCCTCTTCCTGCTACGCAACACGATCAAGCAAATCCACGGGTGCAATCCGGCCCCCGCCAAGAAACGTCTGGTGCCTCAGCTGGACAAAGCTCTCCATCCCCCCCTGGATTCTGGAGACAACCACCAGCACAAAACGCCAATCCCGATCTCTTCTCTGCGGATGAGCTGATGAAGATTTTCGTCGACATGACCAGCGCTCTTCGCCAGTGCCGCAGCAAGCCCGAACAGATCCAAGTGCTCGGTAAGTTTATTATTCAGTATGGTGTCTAAACCGATAACTGTCGTCACATGGAACGCATGCTCTGTAAGAGCAAAAAGACTCGAGCTTGCTGACTTCCTCCGCAAGCATAGTATCGACGTGGGCCTCCTAACAGAGACCCATCTTAAATCCGGTGACAGCTTTTGGTTGCCTGATCACCACATTGTCCGGCTTGATCGTATTGACTCCAGGGGGGGTGGTGTTGCGATCATCATCAAGAAAGGAATCAAGTTCTGCACGCTGCCGCATATTCGCACTTCTATCATCGAGGCCCTTAGTGTCGAGGTGGAATCACCAACCGGAAACGTCCGGTTCGTCGCCGTATACTGCCCTCGTCAGTGTGCTGCCAGTAATGGATTAGGCATCCAATTCAAGCATGATCTGACCACCATCACTCGCACGAGCTCACGATTCGTCATTGGGGGCGATTTAAATGCCCGCCACGAAGCATGGCGGAACTATCAGCGGAATCAGAACGGACGTCTGCTCTTCGACCACTCGCAGCATGGGCTGTATACAGTGAAATTCCCTGATGAACCGACATTCATCTCTCCGGCGGGAAACCCTTCCACGTTGGACTTTTTTCTATCGAACATTGGACTATCCAAACCGATGGCGATCAACGATCTCAGTTCCGACCATCAACCGGTGGTGGCTGAAGTCGGCACCCACGTGGAACCTGCTCAAAGCCTGCGCAAAGACTACCATCATGTCAACTGGGTGCAGTTTGG